CTTCGCGATAAAACAATGTCGCATAAACTTCGAAATCGTGTTTCAAAACTGAATCAAAACTTCCGATTCTAGGTGGAAACACTTGACCCGGAAGTCAACTTTATATTATGACCTTTATTTTAAAATGGATAAGTTGATGGGAATAGAAACCAAGCTAAAATTGAACGTCGGTTCTCGAGCCGCCGGCTTAGTGTACTGACGGCACTTTAGCCGTGCCGCCCCCCCACGGCTCGGCGTAGCGAATGAGTTAAAGTCACCCTGTACAATCCATAACATCCCAGTGGACATCCTAATTTTAAACTTCCTTCAAATAAAACAAAAGCAAAAAAAGTAACCTCGTGCGCAATTTGAAGCACAACTTTCAGTCATAGTTACCATTAGTACAGCCTACACATATTGCTATTAATTAAACGCAAAAAAACAAACCTGTCTCTTCTCAGACGTACACTCCTCACATCTGACGAAAACTCCAGTTCAATAACGTGCTTTTTCTTTAAATCATCCCAAACCATAACTGCGAAAACAAAATTAGAAAGAGAAACATTAATTATTATATCATTTAAAAAAAAGATTTATTTAAATAAAACTTTACAGTTTAATATCTAGTCAAGGAGGGAGAAAACAATATCAGTCACACAAGTACCAAAATATGCTTTACATTTAAATTACATGAAACTTGCATATTGCAAAAACACAGACAGTACACACATTACAAATGTTCATTCATAACATTATCTTTGTTTGGGGGATATTTTGGGTTTTTTCCACCACCAACCAGAGCTAGGTAATTGCAACGGAACAGCATCTCAACATGACCGATGCCACCATCGGAAAAAGGTGGAACAAAAGAAAGGAAAAAGAAGAAAATTAATGTATGATAAAACCAAACAACCTTCTCCATTTCAGTTCCACAATGATCTGTTTTAATAATCTAACCTACTCTCTCCACATACCATCAGGTATATAAAAAACAAATAAAGAACAAAGAGCAGTCAACGCCACACTTGTATCGATGTCAAACTTCAAAAATAAAACAAATGAGCAGCATGTGTGTAAAAAACTCCCCTGATTTCAAATAATAAGAAAAACTTAACTAATTTATTCAAACACGTTTTCTTGCAAACTGAACTTTAATTCTCGACTTCCTGAGGGGGACTGACATCACCCATGGGTAAAGTAAACTTTAGCCTTCCATTTTAAGACCTTATTTCACCTAGGTGCACATTTAGATATCTCCATTCTCCAAATTTTGATCACCCTGATATAATGTGCAAAAGATGTTCTTTTTTACCTATTTCAAGAATGTAAATTATATAGCGAAGAGAGCAAAGTGTCAGGATCAGAAGCATTTCGTTGATGTTTTTATAAGTGGTAATCAACCTATAGCTCTATTTATTCCCTAAAAAAGGACCAGTAGTTGGTAAAAGAAGCTAGTAGTACGTTATGTTTCTTCATACCTTTCAGATACTTTTGCCAGTTTGCTTTTTCCTCCATCATTCAAGTGCAACATATTTTTTTTTAAGGACTTTGTTTTAGTAAAGAGAAGCACATTAACACTTAGTGCAACGGAAAAGGAAGACCAACAAACCACAGAGGAAAAGAAGAAGGACCGACCAAAGGCACCCTCCAACCAGCTGCTTTTAAAAATAAAGATTAAGAGAAAACTGATCCAGAGAACATCTCAAACATACAAGATTTCTGCTACAGATTTTTTAACCCTCACAGAAGAACAAGTTGAAAACATTATAAGGGAAAAGAATATAAAAACTTTCATAACGCATCGTCATAACAACCTATTATCCGAATTAACAACTCTTCTAGGTCATGGGTATCCCTTGAACACATGGTTCCCACAGACCTCCCATTTTTTAAACTTGCTTCTAAGAGTACATGATGTAATCTCTATTACCATACAACAAGGCTACAATGATACAAATCTGCAACTTCCTGCACAAAACAATTAGAGCCATAGCTTACAACTTTTTGTATGTCACAAACCAGCTTTACATAAATAAAGTGAACTGCTAAATATATATCCCCTGAAACAAATATTTCAGATTTAAAAATTTTGGAGAAACAACTACATGACATGCATTCAAACCGATACATATAAACTAATTCTCACTCTGTCTCTCTATCTCTTTCAATGGATCAGCATTGTACACACGGAAACCTTTTTCCATTCCACAGGAAAAGCACCCTGTTAATTATAAACACACAAGAGGAAAAAAAGCTGAATACGTGTATCTTAAATCTAGTTAATTTGCATCATGAAAATCTTCAACTTAATTTTTTTGTTTTGTTTTAAAGAGTGAAAAAGCAACAAGAAATGAAGAGTTTCCATTTTTCGACTTCCAATATATTTTCATTCACGTAAAATTAGCAAAGTAAAAATCAAATAATTATTGTGTTGAAAGTCGGAAAGGCTGATGGCTTGAATAAATCCATAATAAAAAACCTATTAGGATATGGAAAGCTTTGGGTCCAAGGGTGAATCCAAAACACAAAAAAATGTCACCCCCTAGAAAACTGAATGTCTGTTGCCATACCACGTGCAGGTACTCTGATTTTTATATAAAATGCTAACAAGCAACTTTTGTTCTATGATTTCCTGGAACCAGCAAGATCAGGTTCATGTCTGGAACTCTTGACCTTTTAATGTAATGTTCTTTTTTTTTTTTAGAATCATCAAATAAGACACATGACCAGTAACCAAAATCCAAATATCAAGACGATAGTAACCATGAAAAACACTCCTACTGCAGCATCAATTTACCTCACCCAGTGTGCTCCTCCTTATAACAAGGTTTCCCAATTACTTATCATAATTATATTCTAATAAACATATTCCTTAATTTTAAAGTCTAAAGTTGCTGTTGAGCAGCTTACCATCGCAGACCCTGAGTAGAAGAAAATCGTTTGCAAACTGTCTGTCTTCAATCATACCTCTTACCACCAAGCACTCACCCTCATATGACTAGATTGAAAGAAGGTCTAACACTTTCTTCGCCCACTAAAAGTATTTCAAGTAATGTGCGATGATGCGTTGATACTAGTAGTGTTTTAATAATGGCAGTACCCCATCTTATAGTAGATCGGTTTTACCTGAAACTCCTGGGGTCAGGTGGCGAATGAGTTAAAAGATCTCGACTAGAATTAATTGATTTATCAGTTCTACCTTCCGGTCACTGTGTACGTAGACTCTGAGACTACATGCCTGGTTACCGTGTATGTGACGCAGACACTCCGTTTATCAAAAACAAGTATTTTGCAAAATGGATAATATTATGGTAGCGTTAATTGCGACATAGAGACGCTGCGACAATGCGGCGTTAATTGCGACAGAGTGCGTCGGTGACAACAACAAACAATATTTTGAGAGAAAAACAAACACACACACATGCACACACACACACTGACACACACACCATACAAATACAGTCGAACCGGAGTAAAACGGCCACCCATTATCAAGGAGAAAAGCGGTCATCTCAGAAAGGTGGCCATCTTAGGCAGGACTGATCAAGAGGAAGAAAACAAACCATTCCTTTCTGAGGTCCAGACCGAAAGTAGCCGCATTGTTGTTGTTGTTGTTTATTGTTGTCGTTGTTGTTTTCGCTAGGCTTTTTTTTCTTTTGTTGCTGCTTTTGTGCAAGGGTGACAATAAAACGAAATGTGTCAGACAAGGAGGACCAAGTGCTATGGTAAAACAAACACATGGGTCACCACCACTTGGAGAACGAGCGACGCTTCTGTCACAAGTTCATGTTGACGTCCATTGTTACTTTTTTTTTTTTTTAAATAGTAGAGGGTTTTACGGTGCTCGCAACTGCATAAGGTCATATGAGCGCCAAGGGGTGAGTGTCAACAGAGAAGTCTTTACAGGGAATCAGACTTACACTGCTCACCTCTCTAGCTTCAACAGCACAAGGTCTGCTTCGACTATCAAGGCACCCCAAAATAGCAGGTCACAAGGGAGTGACAAACATACAAAAGAAGTAGAGGAAATAAGATTACAACACGAAAAAGGAAAGTTTTTAAAAAATTTTCCAAAACGCCATATCACTGGTGCAAATTGTTTTCTGCAGAACAAATGAATCTGGAAAACGAGCCATATGCAGGCTGCCCTCAAATTTCAAAGCAAGAAGCCAACCATCAAGGAATTGAGGAATTTATTTGTAAAGATAGGCAACAAAAAATAAGGGAATTTTACCATGTCCCTTGACCTTCCAAAATCAGTCATTCATTCATTCATAACATTATCTTTGAGCACCTGGGTTACCATAACGTCTAGGCTCAATGGGTTCCTAATAGCCAGACAAAAAGTGATCTGGACTTCTAAACAGGGCCATTTTTCTCCACCCCAACGATCACAGAAAATAATAATAATAATAATAATAAATTGCATTTATATAGCGCATTTCCACAAAGAAGTGCTCAATGCGCTGTACAATAATACAAAGAACATATGAAGTGCACAGCTCCTATAGTAATCCTCTTTCTCTCTCTCTCACTAGTCTCACTCTGTCTCTGTCTCTCTCTCAGTACATCTTTGTGTAAAGACAATCCCATAAAGCTTACCCAGACACCCTCGCACACATTGATGATGTGGGCAAAATGCGGGGAAAAAAAAGGTGCGTGAAAAAAGCTCAGTGTACAGTATATCGAATATGCCACTGCCTGGGCATGACACTCAAAGGCATCACACTCAAAGAGGAAGATTATATATACCGTCAACCACTTTTCAGACAAAGCACAAACCCTTTGATAAAGAGACACTAAACAATTTTGTTCTCACCTGGACTGTTTGTTCTTCTTTTCATCTTCAGTAGAGAAAATGTGGACTGTTCCGTGGTCACTTGAGACACACAAGAGAGTGGAATCTGTATTGAAGCTTATGCTGTGCAAAATGAAAATGAAAGAATCTATTACAAACTGATCTGAGACTATTCTGTCAACAAACAATGTCGACCATACGAAAACATTCAATCATCGACGACTTGGTCATCTTCCCAATTTCAAAAAGGCAAAAGACACGTGAGCAACAACAATATGAAAACTCTAACTAAGAAGTAAAAGATAATTTATTTCTGGCCCTAACGGGAGGAGCAACCCTTGAGGACCATTTTCTATGTCTTTTGCCCGAGATCAAATCTAAGTACACATATAAGTTAGGCATAGTAAAATCTCTTGATATGCAATTTTATTTTGGCATAGTTACACCCATTGCTATGGAAACGGCCACCATCTTGAAAATAAACAATGAATTTCAAATCCCTAAGACATTCTTATTTACACACCAAATTTGACCAAATTTGGTGAGAGTGTACCTGAACCAGATCCTATCAGCGTAACAGCGAATTTTTTTTCACTAAGTGTAAGAGAGAAAAAAATGAGAATTTTCCCAAAGTATAAAAAACCTTTTTTAAATTCAGGTTGCATAATGGTTTGCCAATGGAAAAGTGTTATTTTTTTCGCAACTATCTCTGTTACATTAATGGCAACCTTGTCATCTATGTTTCTGGAAAGTTTTAAGTCAAAAGGATGAAAACTAAGGAAGGAGTAGGGAAAAACTGCAAAAAAATTACACTTTCCGAAAAACGACAATTATTGTGAAACACTATATTAACCCACCCTCATGTTTTCAAAGGCAATTTACGAGGACAATAAAGACTTTCTCAATTGTCTCCATGCTATTTTTAGACAAAAAACTGGTTGATCTTCAAAAATCAGCCAACATCTCATAGCCTGACCCAAAATCGGCAAAATCAAGGGTCGCTCCTCCCCTTAATTAATATGAACACATTCACCGACTTCTCCAAGAGTTGAGGATTCCAATACCTGGACCACTTTCCTTGACAAAACTCTGATTGAAATTCGGTACCAGAAAAATCAAATTTAGATGACGACATGTCTGAAATTTTTTAGTATGGGTCTTGTGAAATCATCAATAGATATAAGTCATAGAAACATCAAAGAGTACATAAACACAATTGTAGCATTGATAAAAAGAGTAGAAGTACAGTAAGTAAGAGACTCCAATGCTGTGTGAAATTAAGGGCTTTTCTGTTAAGCCAGTTTTACTGAGTTATCTCTTTTCTTTGCCATATCGTCAGGCCGAAGGGCTAGAAGCCAAATGGCCGCTGGATCGGAAAAGAGAAGTAAAGAAAGTACTGAGAGAACTCCTACCAGTAAATGTGAGCACTGTTAGCACCGCGACGCAACTCATGCAACTGAACTCCTGCGGCTGTGTCGAACACACGTATTAAGGTACCCTGAAGATAAAAAATGATAATCAGTAACATGAAATTCATAAATAAATATACCCATCACATTTTAAAACAAACACACAGAAACAATCACAGCGGTATATTGATAAGATTTTAGCCTATCTTGCAAAAGTTGTTGGGTTGGCACCAGCTTAATACACGCATGGCTATAGGAAAAGATCAGCTCTTTTTCTCAGTCATTCTATATCCCCATGAAAGGGCAGTCACATGAACTCAGATACTGACTGAAAACTAAGAGTTCTAGCATGCACACTGTCCTTGTCAAAGATACTCCAGCCTTTGAGTCAAAGAACGAGTTTAGGGGACATACAAAAGCTCTCTAGCTTCAACAGAACAAGACATATTAGAAAACAAAAGTAAAAACACCACTGTAAACATCACTACATAAATATTCAAAGAAGAACGAGCTGCATCTTACAAGAAGTCAAGCCCAGGACCAACATTGCCTCTTCATTTTTAAATACCTTTTCAGAGGCTGTGGCTAGTCTTGTGCCTTGCAAATTCATCGCCATACAACTCAAATTTGCTTCATGGGCTGGAATATCAAGTGGTGATTTCTCAGTGTCCGCAAGATCTACTACTTGAACATGTCCCACTTTGCGGGCAGGAAATGATAACAATGAGTTGTTACTGTTTGGGCACATCACACACAAGCCTGAAAAGAAAAGAGAAAATAAAGTTTAAAAAGGTGAAACAAAAGAATACAGGCACAAACACACCTTCATCAAAGGATGACGCCTTCCATCTAAGTGAAACATATACCTGTTTATAATTGTACATCAATGGAAATAGGGTTATGTTTATAACCTTTGAACAATGCTCCTCTTCAGAACATTACTGCAAACTTCTTCCCCTCTGACTGGATACAAACAAGGCTTTCAACACTTAAAATGGAGTAACCTACGAAAACACTTTTACATAGCACATTGATAATATTAACAATAACAAGGGATCTTGTGGTTTAAAGGCATTGTGTTCGCCTCTCAGTCAAATGGTCCACGGTTCAAAACCTGCCAGTAACGACATAATTTTCTGCTCCGAAATTTTCTCATTTGTCCTCCTTTCCTGTTCTCTAGTCCAGTTCCATCACCTGCTTTCATCTTCACTTTCTCACCCCACCCCTAGCTTCTGTGCTCCTCTCTCAGTTTGACACTTTCAATTACTACCCCTGGGCCCTTCTTACTGCTGTGTCTTTCAGTCATACCCCTGATCTTAGGGTAGGTAAGATCAAACAACACGCTTTCTCAGATGAGGGCGACAAATTTCGGAGGTCCTGTGTGCAAGGTGCGCAAGTTCAAGATCCTTGCTGGTCCTAAAATCGATAAGAGTGGGCTTTGACTGCCACACTAGCAAGATTAAAAATTGTTCCAACCAAAACGGAAAATATTCTTGCCAGCATAATAAAAAAACCCAGGATACCTTTGAAATCAAAACGTGGCTATCTTGCCTGAAGGCAAGGGGCCTCCTTACTAAGTTAGAATAATGATCATATACGTTAAAATTAGCCGAACTGCAGGTTTAAGAACCAGCGCAGTCGATCTAGCAGGGACACACAAGGATGAAAAAGAGAGATAACAATTACAATCTTAGATAGAACAGCCCATTGTGAACAGGCTGCTAAATGTTATAAATAATACAGTAAAATGAGTTAGAAGGTCACTTGCATTCTTTCTTAGTAGTAGATATTGTCTAAGACAGCCACAAATTGTCGAGGAGAAAAGTGGTCATCTTACGCAGTGTTATTGAGACGTAAAAAAGACACAAGGGGGGACATGGGAAGTGGCAGTTTGTATGGGTGATTCGCTCATACAGGCAGCCATTTGACCGGAGGGTTTTTTGGTAACTGTTTTATGGCGCTCGCAACTGCATAGCGTCATACGAGCACGCTGAGCAGTTTTAACAATATTCAATTCCATTCTTTTTTTAACCTACCCTTTGGATTGTAGCCTGTCTCAAAGACATGAAGTTGCTGGGGATTTTGCGTGAAGGTGTACACTTTGATCATGGAATCTAGAGCAACGACAATTCTGAAAAATAAGGAAAATGACAATAATTCAGCATTTTTAAAAACCCTTTTTAAATCAGATTCATTGATCACCAGTGAATATTTGAGAGAAATACTTTGTCATTTGATACAAAAACCATTTTCACAAATGTTTATTCAATACGTAAACAAGTCCACAGCCTTTCCATAACACATAAATACATACATAACAATAACGGAAAAAGGAATAAAATGAAAAAGTACTAGGATCTTTAATAAACACTGGGTGTCTTTAAAACAAGGACCAATTTATAGAGCACTGGCTTGGGTCATCTTTGTACCTTCAACAAAACTTCACACAAATGAAATTCAATCAAACTTGTGCAAAGATGACCAAGTTGTTGCCCTTTAACCTTTTCCACAAGCTGTGGGCATACCTGGTACACCCTAACAATTTGTTGCCATGTGCGTGGCAGGCGTACCTGGCATGCCTTTGTAAACCTGTGTTTTGTTTCATCATATCTTCACTTCTGAACAGTTTTGAATGGAGAGTTATATTCCCATCTTCATTGTTCTATTGCCAATTTGACCATGTCTATTTTCAGGCTGCTATGTCCAGGAATCACACACAATAGCATCTAGAACAAAGACTTCTATAATGACAATGACAATGACAATGACAATGACAATCCTTATTCATCTCGCAGGGAGAAATTTGTCTTGGTCATTAACACTGGCAGTAGACGTTACAAAAGTTAGACTTAAAGGTGCACTCACGCAAAGGCACAACAAGACAGGACATTATGCCAAGTAAATACATGTCTCACGGGCTGGGACATCTCTCTCTCTCTCTCTCCCTCTCTCTCTCTGTTTCATTTGTAGCACTGTGTGTTCAGTAACCTCACTGCAGTTGGTATGAATGAATTTCTATATCTGTCTGTTCTTGCTTTTTTGGAAATGTATCGTTTACTGCGGGTCAATAGTTGAAATTCCGATGTCAGTGGGTGGCTATGGTCACTAAGCATTATTTCCGCCTTTTTTAGAACGTTTGTCTTGTGCAGATATTCAATGGTAACAATGACAATCAGTAAGAGTATCTTTTTTGTGGAAAATAGTCATGTGACGTGACTGTGAAGAAACTGTGGCGTGATATTGCTTTCTTGGATGTGAGACACCCAACTGCCACTTCAGGACTAAAATGGAGATTGTTTCTTTGGTATGTATGTAGATTAGAGCACTGATGTTGATTCAGTTAGGGAAAAATAATTCTTTCTCACTTTCACCTGTCAAATTATTTAGCTGAATAAATATAGCTCAAAAACATCTCACTCAAGAGATTTGACTGTAAGTTCATTTCTCTTTTAACTGATGTTTCTTTTCTATCTAGTGGTTAGCAAGCTATAGCCCTTCAAAGAAATGAACCATGTCAGAGGCAGCCTCTCAGGAATGTTTACTGAGATCAAGAAAAGAAAATGGCAATGGATTGGAGATAACACTCAGAAAGCCAACCCACAATGAGACAAGAAAATGCCTAAGATGGAACCCCACAGGGGAGGAGAAAGAAAGAAAGGCCAATATCCACTTGGGAATGAGATCTAGAGGCGGATCTCAGGCATATGGACACATGGCTGGTTGGAGGTGGAGAAGATTCGCCAGAACAGAGACAGGTGGAGAGCCCTTCTTGGCAGCTTCTATACCTAGCACCAGGGGGAAAGAGGCCACTGATGTTGACATGGGGAGGGGGCTTTCAGTTAGCAGACAAGGGGTTAAATGGACGCTTTTTTAACTCATTCGCTACGTATTATTTTCGGCTTGTGGACGAGTTTTTTTCGGGAGGGCGAAATGAGATGATGACTAGTGTGCAGTTCACAGGTCTTGGGGGCCATAAATTCAAATAAATATCAACATATTATATACCAACATTTTCAGTATGGTTTGCAGAATACATCTGTATGGTTTATTTGAGTATTTTTCAACTTTGGTTCCTGTAAGAGGTGATTATGCAACACAATTGTGATTGGCTGCGGATAAAATTTGAAAACAAAAAATTTATAATCTCAGATGAAACTCAAAAAATATGTTTTTACCTAGTCAAATTATGCATCAAAATAACCATAACTGTATATAGAACAGGAAAATATTGAAAAATGAGCAGTTATTTACATACATTCCATAATATTTGTACATTTGGATCATAACCTCCGATATTGAAAAAAAAAAATGTTTTAATTATTTTGAAAAAAGGATCCCAAACAGAAAAAAAAACACTCGTATCTTATATGGAATTTTTCAGAATTGCATTTGGAATAAACCTATACATGTCTTGGGTGGTACTTTTTGAGTAAATTCACCAAAAAGTAGTGGTTTTGGGGAGAAAAAAAATATTTTGACTATTTAGATCTAGGCCTAGATCAAGCACTCAAAAATATAGATTTCTCAATTACAGCGCACTGGCAATTTGAGTCCAGTAGTATCAATATTACAAAGAAGAGTCCTACACTTCTTTAGTGAGCAAAATAATGATACATTTTGTTGTGTAAAAGTACTAAGACTGGTGTCTGGGCTATAATTTGGGCTTCGCGATAAAACAATGTCGCATAAACTTCGAAATCGTGTTTCAAAACTGAATCAAAACTTCCGATTCTAGGTGGAAACACTTGACCCGGAAGTCAACTTTATATTATGACCTTTATTTTAACATGGATATGTTGATTGGAATAGAAACCAAGCTAAAATTGAACGTCGGTTCTCGAGCCGCCGGCTTAGTGTACTGACGGCACTTTAGCCGTGCCGCCCCCCCACGGCTCGGCGTAGCGAATGAGTTAAAGTCACCCTGTACAATCCATAACATCCCAGTGGACATCCTAATTTTAAACTTCCTTCAAATAAAACAAAAGCAAAAAAAGTAACCTCGTGCGCAATTTGAAGCACAACTTTCAGTCATAGTTACCATTAGTACAGCCTACACATATTGCTATTAATTAAACGCAAAAAAACAAACCTGTCTCTTCTCAGACGTACACTCCTCACATCTGACGAAAACTCCAGTTCAATAACGTGCTTTTTCTTTAAATCATCCCAAACCATAACTGCGAAAACAAAATTAGAAAGAGAAACATTAATTATTATATCATTTAAAAAAAAGATTTATTTAAATAAAACTTTACAGTTTAATATCTAGTCAAGGAGGGAGAAAACAATATCAGTCACACAAGTACCAAAATATGCTTTACATTTAAATTACATGAAGCTTGCATGTTGAAAAAATATAGTCACTACACACATTACAAATGTTCATTAATAAAATTACCTTTGTTTGGGGGATATTTTGGGTTTTTTCCACCACCAACCAGAGCTAGGTAATTGCAACGGAACAGCATCTCAACATGACCGATGCCACCATCGGAAAAATCTGGAACAAAAGAAAGCAAAAAGAAGAAAATTAATGTATGATAAAACCAAACAACCTTCTCCATTTCAGTTCCACAATGATCTGTTTTAATAATCTAACCTACTCTCTCCACATACCATCAGGTATATAAAAAACAAATAAAGAACAAAGAGCAGTCAACGCCACACTTGTATCGATGTCAAACTTCAAAAATAAAACAAATGAGCAGCATGTGTGTAAAAAACTCCCCTGATTTCAAATAATAAACTAAACTTAACTAATTTATTCAAACACGTTTTCTTGCAAACTGAACTTTAATTCTCGACTTCCTGAGGGGGACTGACATCACCCATGGGTAAAGTAAACTTTAGCCTTCCATTTTAAGACCTTATTTCACCTAGGTGCACATTTAGATATCTCCATTCTCCAAATTTTGATCACCCTGATATAATGTGCAAAAGATGTTCTTTTTTACCTATTTCAAGAATGTAAATTATATAGCGAAGAGAGCAAAGTGTCAGGATCAGAAGCATTTCGTTGATGTTCTTATAAATGTTAATCAACCTATAGCTCTATTTATTCCCTAAAAAAGGACCAGTAGTTGGTAAAAGAAGCTAGTAGTACGTTATGTTTCTTCATACCTTTCAGATACTTTTGCCAGTTTGCTTTTTCCTCCATCATTCAAGTGCAACATATTTTTTTTTAAGGACTTTGTTTTAGTAAAGAGAAGCACATTAACACTTAGTGCAACGGAAAAGGAAGACCAACAAACCACAGAGGAAAAGAAGAAGGACCGACCAAAGGCACCCTCCAACCAGCTGCTTTTAAAAATAAAGATTAAGAGAAAACTGATCCAGAGAACATCTCAAACATACAAGATTTCTGCTACAGATTTTTTAACCCTCACAGAAGAACAAGTTGAAAACATTATAAGGGAAAAGAATATAAAAACTTTCATAACGCATCGTCATAACAACCTATTATCCGAATTAACAACTCTTCTAGGTCATGGGTATCCCTTGAACACATGGTTCCCACAGACCTCCCATTTTTTAAACTTGCTTCTAAGAGTACATGATGTAATCTCTATTACCATACAACAAGGCTACAATGATACAAATCTGCAACTTCCTGCACAAAACAATTAGAGCCATAGCTTACAACTTTTTGTATGTCACAAACCAGCTTTACATAAATAAAGTGAACTGCTAAATATATATCCCCTGAAACAAATATTTCAGATTTAAAAATTTTGGAGAAACAACTACATGACATGCATTCAAACCGATACATATAAACTAATTCTCACCTTGTCTCTCTTTCTCTTTCAATGGATCAGCATTGTACACACGGAAACCTTTTTCCATTCCACAGGAAAAGCACCCTGTTAATTATAAACACACAAGAGGAAAAAAAGCTGAATACGTGTATCTTAAATCTAGTTAATTTGCATCATGAAAATCTTCAACTTAATTTTTTTGTTTTGTTTTACAGAGCGAAAAAGCAACAAGAAATGAAGAGTTTCCATTTTTCGACTTCCAATATATTTTCATTCACGTAAAATTAGCAAAGTAAAAATCAAATAATTATTGTGTTGAAAGTCGGAAAGGCTGATGGCTTGAATAAATCCATAATAAAAAACCTATTAGGATATGGAAAGCTTTGGGTCCAAGGGTGAATCCAAAACACAAAAAAATGTCACCCCCTAGAAAACTGAATGTCTGTTGCCATACCACGTGCAGGTACTCTGATTTTTATATAAAATGCTAACAAGCAACTTTTGTTCTATGATTTCCTGGAACCAGCAAGATCAGGTTCATGTCTGGAACTCTTGACCTTTTAATGTAATGTTCTTTTTTTTTTTTAGAATCATCAAATAAGACACATGACCAGTAACCAAAATCCAAATATCTAGACGATAGTAACCATGAAAAACACTCCTACTGCAGCATCAATTTACCTCACCCAGTGTGCTCCTCCTTATAACAAGGTTTCCCAATTACTTATCATAATTATATTCTAATAAACATATTCCTTAATTTTAAAGTCTAAAGTTGCTGTTGAGCAGCTTACCATCGCAGACCCTGAGTAGAAGAAAATCGTTTGCAAACTGTCTGTCTTCAATCATACCTCTTACCACCAAGCACTCACCCTCATATGACTAGATTGAAAGAAGGTCTAACACTTTCTTCGCCCACTAAAAGTATTTCAAGTAATGTGCGATGATGCGTTGATACTAGTAGTGTTTTAATAATGGCAGTACCCCATCTTATAGTAGATCGGTTTTACCTGAAACTCCTGGGGTCAGGTGGCGAATGAGTTAAAAGATCTCGACTAGAATTAATTGATTTATCAGTTCTACCTTCCGGTCACTGTGTACGTAGACTCTGAGACTACATGCCTGGTTACCGTGTATGTGACGCAGACACTCCGTTTATCAAAAACAAGTATTTTGCAAAATGGATAATATTATGGTAGCGTTAATTGCGACATAGAGACGCTGCGACAATGCGGCGTTAATTGCGACAGAGTGCGTCGGTGACAACAACAAAAAATGTTTTGAAAGAAAAACAAACACACACACATGCACACACACACACTCACACACACACAATACAAATACAGTCGAACCGGAGTAAAACGGCCACCCATTGTCAAGGAGAAAAGTGGCCGTATAAGACAGGTGGCCATCTTAGGCAGGACTGATCAAGATGAAGAAAACAAACCATTCCTTTCTGAGGTCCAGACCGAAAGTAGCCGCATTGTTGTTGTTGTTGTTTATTGTTGTCGTTGTTGTTTTCGCTAGGCTTTTTTTTCTTTTGTTGCTGCTTTTGTGCAAGGGTGACAATAAAACGAAATGTGTCAGACAAGGAGGACCAAGTGCTATGGTAAAACAAACACATGGGTCACCACCACTTGGAGAACGAGCGACGCTTCTGTCACAAGTTCATGTTGACGTCCATTGTTACTTTTTTTTTTTTTTAAATAGTAGAGGGTTTTACGGTGCTCGCAACTGCATAAGGTCATATGAGCGCCAAGGGGTGAGTGTCAACAGAGAAGTCTTTACAGGGAATCAGACTTACACTGCTCACCTCTCAAGCTTCAACAGCACAAGGTCTGCTTCGACTATCAAGGCACCCCAAAATAGCAGGTCACAAGGGAGTGACAAACATACAAAAGAAGTAGAGGAAAATGACAATAGTAAGGATCAGGAAAGAAAAAGGAGCAGTTCCCTGTTGTAGATCAGGCACAGTTATATAAGCGTGACATGAATCAGCCCATTTACAATTCTACTATGCTTGAACGAGATATGTCCCCCCTTTGGGAAGGGCCTAAAGATACTTCAGTCAGTGGCACCGCCCGGGGGGGGGCTTGTTACTTTGTAACAGACTGGGTAAACAGTGACCATTCATCTCACTTACAATTTGTGTATGAGTTCTGAGCGGCACTTTTATGGGTTATATGAGGGATCACACGCTTACCTCACCAGCAGCTGAAAATTGTTACCTATTGGTCAAAACTCTGAGGGGCCTACGCAACATGATTGGTTGGAGGGACTACCAAACTACGACGACAGGTGATTGGAATATGACAGCTCGCCCACAACGCCAGGGGCCAATGCACAATTAATGATAAAATGTAAAGGAGTAACTAAGGTGGCCGTCTAAGACAGGTGTTATTGCTTTCTGTGATAGGGGTTGTGTGTTGAAATAAGGTGGCCGCGGCCGCGTTGGACAGGTGCCCGTTTTACACAGTTAAATTATATATAGAAAAAAACGCAAGGAGGGAAATAGAAAGTGGCTGTTCGTACAGGTGGCCGTCAGGGCAGGTACGACTGTACACATACACAAGCACACACATTTACACACACAGACACATGCACACATACACTCACACACACTGACACACGCACACATACACACACACAAACACACAGCGCCCATGCTTGTGGCCTTATTAAATACACACACACACACACACACACACACACACACACACACACCAAACTATTGTATGCTGCTACTGATGTTTTGTTGTAATATTTGTTGCCTCGACTCTAGTGTACAGAAAGTATTTGTGGATTTTTGCCACACTTTTCAAGTTTGCCTTCACAACTGTTTCAGTTGGTGTCAAGGGCGGAAGCCCAGGGGGTAATGATGTTAAGGTTCTTGTGAAGCGGAGATACTGTGGAGACACCGAACTCTCCCCCTTACGCACCTCTGGGTATAGCTGGATTCTTTCAGAGAACGAGGCATGCATCTCGAGCTGTCAGTCCATGTACTCAGCTAACCTCTCATTATCTCAAGACCGTTAAGTGCGTGAGCGAAGAGCCACATCCTTACAGAGGTGACACTGTTAACCTAAACCTTGCGGTTCAGGAACAGAACGCAAAAGACCTAGAGGAGACAACCTTGACAAATAATCCTTAAGACCAAGGTGTACCAACGTGCCCACAGGATGTATGGCTGCGGGTTAGTCAGACTCTTACGTGGGTGTTTGGCAGCCTTAGGGGCGGCGCCAGGCATGAATATGTCCCCTTCCCTGGTATGGGGCTCTGCCAGGGTGACAGTGTACATCCCAAAGCTATAAAACGCATCATGAATTTAAATATTTCTTTTTAAAGGGAAACAGCGTGGGAGCTACGGAGATTGTGCTCCCTTGAAGACACTCCCAGCATTACCGCCTTAAAAGGTAGCAAGGAAAAGAGGAAGGACAGGAAGTTGTAGAAAGAAATGTTCCGGGAAGAGGAAAAGTCGGATAAATACAGACAAAAACCAAGCCATATGCTACTCAAATTGCAGCAGTGTCAGGCAAAGAGGTTCAGATCTGGAAAACCTTATCTATGAAACGGATATTATGATGCTCCAGGAGACGGACGTAGAAAATTTCAAACGCCATTGCTACAAGGCCTACACGAATCCATGTAGTGTGACCCATCATGGCCAACTAATATTTAGTCAAACAGGGCGTTACACACAGACTGATTGATGCGAAGCGATTCAACAGGGAGGACAGGGAGGTCCAAATTATGGAGTGTGAGGTGAGGAAGAGGAAATGGGCGCTTGTCAACATCTATGGGGAATAACAGAGCCAGGATAGAGGAGGATTGGAACTTCCTGGAGGAGGTCGGCCAACTGAGTGAAAGGGTGACGATCGTTAGGGACTTCAACGCCAGGAGTGTGACATGGGGAAATGTACACGATAACATTCTAGGAAAGGCTCTGAAGAAGGCGATTGATAGATTGCAGTTTTCCCATCCTCAACGGAACACACATGACAAGGATCGCACAGCGCAATGGAGAGGAAGATTCAAACATAGATTTGGCATTGATTACAGCAGGTTCGGAGGTCCTTGCTAAATGGCAGGCTCTGTCAGACAACGGAAGTGATCATCTGCCTTGTTCCATCATGATCAATTGCCACGAGGGGAAGGATGAAAAACGCAAGATGAAAAAAACATTCAGATATGAAAAGGACAGTGGCTCTACTGCGCTGCAAAAAATAGGAGAAATCCAACTTTGTTCAGCCGCCTTATTGGAATCCTGTGCTTGAAAAGCTGTGGCTACAGAAGAGAAGGTCAACAAGAGTACATGGCATAGGGCGAGGAAGTCAGACAAAGTATCAAAAGAGGAAAAGAATATATTCTCAGAGAGCGGATGAAAAGAGACGGGCGGCTTTTCAGGGAAAGTGCAAATGAGGCCAAACAGGAACGGTGGGAGCAGTACGTGACCGAAGTGTCATCAGTGAAGGCACCACACAGGTGCTGGAAATTGCACAGAAAAATGAAGGGATTAAGGACTAACGCTGGCTCTCTGTCTGTTAAAGAGGAGAACGATAGGCTACTGGAGACAGATGAAGCAAAAGGATGGGCTTTCCTTGAGAGGTACAGCAAGCAAACTCACCAAGGCAACATGGAGGAGCGTGCCAACATCCGGGCAATTATGAAAACTGCTGTTCCAGAGGTGCTGTATGGAGAGGGTGTCACAATACAGGAAGCAAAGCGGGTAATAAGCGGAATGAAGGATAGTGCAGCAGGGCCTGATGGGGTGAGATACAGTCATTTTAAGTATGCAGATGAAGAAGATCTATAAGAGCATGGAGGAGGGCTTCAACGACAGTCTGGCCAAAGGCAAGATCCCAGAGTAGTGGCTACACAGCTATCTCATGCCTCTTCCTAAACCAGGCAAAGACAACTTTAACATCAATCGATACAGATTCATCACCATGCAGAACATGTATGAAAAGATCCTGGAAAAGATTTTGTGGCCAAAAGGCTGGCAAAATTACCTAGAGAGGAAAAAGCTCCCTCCAGACGGCCTAGGAAGCTACAGGTAAAGACACCAGCACACACACGGCTGTGTTAGCCTTTGATGTATTTGAAGGGTTCCAGAGAAAGGAGTAGACAGCAATGGCTGCTATAGACCTAGAGGATGCTTACAACTGAGTTGATTACGGCAAGCTCATGGATCTCCTGACGGAAATGAATGTTGACCCCTGGTTGGTAAAATGGATCTCCGAAGCTCTGTTTGAGAGGAAGGTGGCGCTGAGAAGTGGGCAATGGATGTCAGACCAAGTAGTGATTGCCTCAGGACTGCCACAAGGATCAGCCTTATCACCGGTCCTGTTCAAATATACACACATCCAAAATTGCCAGGATCGATGTAAGTTGAGCAGGAAAAATCCTAACTTCTGCAGATGATGTGATGGTCTACGGACAAGGTCGTGATAGGCTAGCGGTTGGACGGATGCTACAGGACAGGCTGGGCAAGGTCGCAGATTGATGTGAGGAATACAAGGCGGTCATCAGTTCAGACAAAGCACAGGTCATCTGGTGCTCACTCAACAACCGTTGTGAAAGATCCTACCCCTCCAATTGTGTTTGACTACTTTCTCAAAGACTGACAGCATGAGCTGTAGTACCTGGGAATCACTCTGGACAGGACACTTTCTTTCCGAAGACATTGACAATGTTGCTGTCAGGGCTCAGAAGGGCATCAATGTAGTGAAGACCTTGGCTTCAGCAGGAATTCAACAGAGAGTTCTTTTTCTCCTTTAATGCAGCTAGTTCAGTTGTTCTGTCAGTAATAGACTATGGTCTGGGCATCCTCTCCCTGTCCAAGACTCAGATAGACAGGTTGAAGAGAGTACAGAATGCAAGGGCCGTTCTGGGATGCACAAAGGACACCCATGTTGTCTGTATGAGATTATACATCCTTGACCTGGCCAGCATCAAGAGTGAGGCATAAGGTGGCACACGCAAAGCTGTACTTGAATGTTTTGGGAGACCCGAGGCACCCTTTTTGCACGACAACCTAAGCAGCATCAAAGGAAACAGGATCAAACGGGCAGCTTGAGGAAAGTTTGTGGCATCGATGAAATATGCTGTGGAAAGAAATGGTTTGAACTGAGCCCCGATTGCAGAAGCCTGGCCCACATTCACATCACTATGGGTCGTGAAAGACGGGAATGTGCTGCTGTCATCAACGACAATCAAGTTAATTGAGGAGCACTCCAAGCCAGAGGACCCAGCACAGTGATCAACACGGATGAATCGGTCAGGAAGGATGAGAGAAGTGGGTGAAATAAATAAAAATGAACAAGGAAAGTGCTATACATACACCAAAACTGAGTGCAAGATAAGAGTGATAGTGGTCACAAAAATACAATATTATTGTCCCTGTCCCTTGCATAGAGTGTCTTGAGGAAAGTATTTTTAAAATGAAAAGATGGATAATGCTTTATCGATTAAAAATCATCACAGACGACTATATTATAATACGAAATTAGTATTTTTTTATTTCACAGACAGCTGTGCTCGGACACAAGTTGGGGGTGTGGCTTCTAAACTCGGCCATCATGAGTATGAGACAAAAGACAGACACTGACACACAACTGGAAAAACACTTTGGTCACAAAAGCAATTCTTGATTAAACCAAATATGTTACCATGATCCTGATTCCATCCAGCAAACAGAAGCCCATTAGTATACGGGCTAGAAGATCCCAAATTCATAATTTGTTAGAAAGTTTTGACAAGATTGTTTTCCTTGTGATCAGATACTCCGTCATCGCACTATTATAAGCATTGACTTGCCAGGGCTTTTGCCATTTTCGCAAGACAAAGAATGGTATGTTTAATGGGGGGGGTTTAAATTCTAAAATAAGGCAATGAAGTTTTTCAAGAATGAATGTATACATGAGTATGCCTTCCTGATTAAAGATATTAAAGTAATCCAAGGTGAATGTCACTTTTCAGTTCCCTATTAAAAGGAAAAATATGTCACACATGACCTATATGGCATATTACGTTTAAAAATGTGCATTCGTTTTTTTTATGGCCCCGCGGGGGGGCCCCCCCCTTTTTTTTTTCCCCTTTTTTTAAAAATTCAAAAAAAAATTTTCTTTTAACCCCCCCCCCCCCCCCCCCCCCCCCCCCCCTTTTTCTTCTTTTTTTTACAGACACACACGCGCGCGCGCGCGCGCACACTCACACACAAACACACATGTTTGTTTTGTTTGTTTTTTGTTTGTGTGTTGTTTTGGTTTTGGTTTTGTTTTGTTTTTTTGTTTTTTTGGGGTCTTGTTTTGTTTTGTTGGGGTAGAGGGGTAGGAGGGAGAAGGGTAGGACAGATAGACAGACAGACAGACAGACAGACGGACGGACGGACGGACGGACGGACAAAGAGAGAGAGGGGGGAGAGAGAAAGGGAGAGAGAGACGAGAGAGCGAGAGAGAGAGAGAGTCTTTTGTAAGGCACCAATCCAAGCGGATTTTACTACACAAATACAGAACATTGCTCCTGGTTTCTCCTGGTGCATAATCAGGGTGGATTTTTAATTAATTTTTTTTTTAAACGTTGGAAAGCACACGTGATTTTGGCGGTGAAACGCTTCTTGTGCCACGCGTTACCTAAAATAAAACTTAATAAATGCGCTAATAATATCCGGGTGCATGAGTGATAAGGCGCAGTCGAGGATGCCCACCCATTGCCGAGGAGAAAAGTGACTGTCTTAGACAGGTAGACGTCTTACATGGTGTCAGTATATAATGTAAGCAATATGGGGGGGGGGGACAATTTGCATAGGTGATTGTCTTTTTTTGTTTTATCCCTTGCCCAGAGATTGACGCCATCTGATTAGTAGCAAAAAGTGTGTAGGCCTATTTTTTTCCTCCAAAAGTGTATTACGAGCATTCTTAGTATGACATGTAGCTGTTACAGATAGAGATTCAATGATAATAGATTATAAGTTAATAATCTGAGAGCAATGATGATTTTAGAAATAATAGTGGTGGTGGTGGTGGTGAGTGATGATGTGGGAATGCATTTTAAGTTATGTTAGTGTTAGTCCTGTCTTCATCTGCTCCAATGAGTCACGAGAGACGTGGGCGCCCTCTGTCCCTGGTGATTGTCTTGTGGCTGGTTCGATTATATATCGATAAAAGCGGATAACAAGTATAATTATGAGGGGGGGGGGGGGACATGATCATAATTAACCCGGAGAAAGAACAATACGTACATTAGAAACAAAATAAAGTCAAGACACTAAACGAGTGCGGATTTTAAAGCTCCGCGCCCACCTAGCTATGGGCACTCCAAAGTTGGGGATAGATAGAGATAGTGGGAGAGAGAGAGAGAGAGA